TCCTCAGCACCAGTGACGCTGAACACACTGACACTGACTCCACCAGTCTCTGTGCTACTCATCACCTCCCCCACTCACACCCCTCACTGTGGTTGGAATGTATCCCTCCAAGTTCATATTCGGAAACTTAATCCCCAATGCAACACTGCTGGAGAAGCGGGACTTTAAGAAGTGATCGGGTTAGGTGGATTAACATCGTTATGAAGGGAGTGGGTTTTGTTATCTTGAAGGTGGGTCTGTTATAAAAAGCAAAGTCAGCCCCTCCCCCTCACACTCTCTCACCTTTGCGATGCCTTCCACCATGTTAAGAGGCAGCAAGAAGCAGGCACAAGCCCCTTGCTCCTGGACTTCCCTGCCTCCAGAACTACAAGAAATTAACCTCTGTTCTTTATAAATCACCCAGTCTGAAGTATTCTTTTCTAGGAGCACAAAACAAAGACACCCCCAAACACCCTGTTTTCCTTCTGTAGTCCTAATTTCTATCAGTGGCCCAACCACTAGCCAAGTCACCAAAACCAGCAACCTGGGAGCCATCCTAACCCACCACCTCCAACTAGCCAGTCCCCCAAACTGCCAGGTGTATTTACCAACCACTCTCTTTTCCAAATCTAACCCTCTTATTTATCTCCTGCCAAAGTCATTGCAGTAACTTTTTCATTGGTCTCACAAGCCCCTCCAGTCGAGGCTCTTCTCTCAGAGGGAACTTTCTAAACATCAGTTGATCTTCACTATTCACAGATTGCATATTGTGAATGCACCTGCTCACTAAAATTTATTGCTAACCCCGGAGCTAATACTCGAGACACTTTGTGGCCACTCAGCACTCACACAGAGGGGAGAAAATTTGAGTTGCCTATTGCACGTGTTCTTAACTGAGGTCAAGCAAGGCTCTGCCTTCAACTCATACTGTAAACATGTGTCCTGTCGGAGATCTATTTAGCGTCATGTTTTCTCATTTGGAGGGAGGGGTGCTTTTGCTGTTTAAAATAGCCCCCGAGCATAGCGCTAACCTACTGTCTAGTATCTGTAAGCACAAGAAACCTGTGATGCGCGTCATGGAGAAAACGTGTGTTAGATTAGCTTCATTCAGACATGAGTTTTAGCAGTGTTGGCTGTGAGTTTGATATTAATGAGTCAGCAATACATCTTAACTAAGGTGTCCTTAATAGAAACACGTAGAAAACAGAGTATTCATCAGCTGATAAAAATGCTGCAAACAGAACCTCACAGGAACCCAAACTTGCATGTCCTCTAGAAGCAATAGTTCAGTATTCATGAATTCAATGTTCTTGGTGACGTAACTACCTTGACTAAGGAGGATCAAGAGTACCAATCTGACCACGTTTCCTCCTTGTTTTGTTTAGAGCTCCCCATGCCTCCCTCAGCACACGAGATAAATTCAAACTCAGCATGACATTCCAGGTCCTCACTGATCTAAAAAGTCTTTGCTGACCTTCTAGGCACCTTGCCATGTGGTGCCCCCACCACTGCCCGGCCCATTCTCTAATTTTTCACAAGAGGTCCTGTGCATACTGTGTGCCCACTACCTCACAAACCTCTCCTTTTCTTCTCTTCATGGTGAATTCATCCTTATACATCCTTCAAGACTCAGCTTAAATATCACCTTCTTCGGGTCTCCCTCTAGCAGAACTTGACACTGCTTTCTCTCATAGATCTTTTACACCACTTCCTACAGTGTTATACCTGATTCACTTACGTGACTCTGCTCTCCTGTATTTGACAATAATTTTTTGGAAAGAGTGTGGAGGAGTAGAGATGGGTGAGACTCTATATGCAAGGTGCGTGCATTTCATACATCACTCATTCAATAAATAGAATTGAGGGACCTTGACAGCAGACACCATTCCAGACAACGGAGGAACAGTAGAAAACAAAATAAAGCCACCGCTGCCTATGTGTGCAACACTGTGCCCATAAGTGTGAGCTGTGTGTAAGAGTGTGTGATAGGGTAGACCCGCCGAGGCAGAGCTAACCCACCCAGGAAGGATCCCTATCCTAGGAAGCATGTCCCTCCCAGGAAATAGTAAATGGACCAATCCCAGGCTCTCTGACACTTTTCCCACCCTCCAGCCAAGGTAGAAAGCCCCATCTGCCATTGCCACATGTGGAATTCCTTTTCTGATTTCATCCCGCCTGCATCCAGGTGGGATAAAGGCCACATTGACCACACACAACTGAGCCTCCGTTTTCCTTACATCTCGCACCTCAGAATACTCTTTCATCTTTGAGTTCATAACCTCTCAGTGTGCCCATGGAGACTACAATGTGCTTGCTTGTGGACGTGTGGTATTTGTGGCTCCTGGACACCCTGTCTATTGAATTCCAACCCAGTGTGACCTGCTGATATGAGGCGTCTTCGAAGTTAATTAGGCAAACAAACTGTGTCTGTGCACTAATGAGGACCCCTCCGCAGGCACCCCTGCCCACCCTCTCTGCCTCCCCTACAGTCTCTGCCTGGCTCAGGTTTGGTCTTTTTGACCCAAAGACAACATCCATCCAAATGAGATTTTCTCTAGTATGTCTGTCTCTCCCTCCCTCCTCCTCCACCTGGCCCACATCTCAGATAGAAAAGGCATAAGAATAAGGAAGAGAGAGAGGAAGCAACATTCTTTTGAATACCCACCACGAACCAGGCCTGTGCTGGGCAGTTTACTATGTTAAAAGCAACTGTAGAAAGGGCTTCCTTTGTGCTGGGCACTTTACCTCCAAGGTGGGGTGAATTCATGCAGCAACCCCATACAAGGTCGGTGTTGTTATTTTCCCACTTTCACAGGCAAGCAGAGGCAGCCCACCGTGTGGAAGTCGCAGAGCTGGGATTGAGGCCACCCAGTCTGTGCATTCAGTCATTGTACCACATGGTGCTCACTGTCCTCTCATGACACCCCTCACACGTGTGGGATGTCTCATTGTTCAGAGAAGAAAACAGGTAAATTACACAGATCAGAAACTAGCAGGGATGAGATTCAAATCCAGGGTGTAAGATTCTAGATTCTAGAGGGTGGAGACTAGATGCAAGGGTGTGGGGCACCAGATGCAGGGGTGAGGGGCCCAGATGCAAGGGTGAGGGGCCCAGATGCAGGGGTGAGGGGCCCAGATGCAGGTTCAGGGCACCAGATGCAAGAGTACAGGACCCTGATGAAGTGTGTGAGACCCAGATGCAGGGGTGAGGGGCCCAGATGCAGGGTGAGGGGCCCAGATGCAGGGGTGAGGGGCCCAGATGCAAGAGTGTGGGGCCCAGATGCAGGGGTGAGGGGCCCAGATGCAGGGGTGTGGAGCCCAGCTGCAGGGGTGAGGGGGCCAGATACAGGGGTGTGGAGCCCAGATGCAGGGGTGAGGGGGCCAGATGCAAGGGTGTGGGGCACCAGATGCAGGGGAGAGGGGCCCAGATGCAGGGGTGAGGGGCCCAGATGCAGGGGTGAGGGGCCCAGATGCAGGGGTGAGGGGCCCAGATGCAAGGGTGTGGGGCACCAGATGCAGGGGAGAGGGGCCCAGATGCAGGGGAGAGGGGCCCAGATGCAGGGGTGAGGGGCCCAGATGCAGGGGTGAGGGGCCCAGATGCAAGGGTGTGGGGCACCAGATGCAGGGGTGAGGGGCCCAGAAGCAGGGGTGTGGGGCCCAGATGCAGGTTCAGGGCACCAGAAGCAAGAGTGCAGGGCCCTGATGAAATGTGTGGGACCCAGATGCAGGGCTGCAGGGCATCAGATGCAGGGGTGTGAGGCCGAGATGCAGGCATGTGGGCCCAGAAGTAGGGCTATGTGGTCCTGATGCAGGGTGTGGGGCCCTGATGCAGGGGTGTGGGCCCAGATACAGGGGTGTGGGCCCATATGCATGGGTATGGGGCCAGATGCAGGCATGTGGGCCCAGCTGCAGGGTCTGTGAGTCCCTGAAGCAAGTGTGGGCTCAGATACAGAGGTGTGGGGCCAGATGCAGGGCTATGGGCCCAGATGCAGGTGTGTGGGGCCCAGAAACAGAGACGCGGGGCCCTGATGCAGGCATACAGGGCCCAGATGCAGGGGTGTGGGGCCCCAATGCAGGGGTGTGGGGCCCAGATGCAGATGCAGGGACGTGAGGCTGAGATGCAGGTGTGTGGGGCCCCAGTGCAGGGGTGCAGGGCACCATATGCAGGCATGTGGGCTCCAGGTACAAATCCCCCACCTAGGAGGAATTAGACCAGTGAGGAGGAACGTGGGATCAGGGGTCCTCTTAGGGGCATTAAAGGGGCAAAAGCACCTGGGGCAGGGGCCAGGAGGCGTGGAGTTTCCAAAGGTGACTGGAGCTGTGAAAACAGAAGCCACCAAGGAGCAACCAGAGAGAGGACAAGCTGAGAGCAGCCCATGGAAGCCAGAGGAGTCCAGGGAATCAGCATGGAGAACATCTGAAGAGTATGAGAGGGCAGGACCGGCCGCAGCTCCTCCCACCCAGGCCAGGGATAGGAAGATAAGCAGGGTGGACCTGCGGTTCTCCCCTGAGAGGATGCTAGGATTCCAGGCTCAGCACCCTGGGAGGAGTGAACCCCTAACTGTCTGAGCCTCCTCAGAGGCAGTCTGGGGAGACTAGGCCCAGCCAATGGCAGTGCTGGCCACAGCTCCTCCTTCTCTCAGGCTAGGCTGGCACACCCAGGCAGGCTGTGTCCTGGGAACAGGCTTCCCCACAAGCCCTCCCGGGTTCGGACATGAATTCCAGCTACTTGCTGAGTCCCACTGCCACTGCCAAGAGCCAGGGGAGCACTGAGGAATAGCCACTCAGGTAAGGGCATCTGTGTCCAGATGTGCCCTGCCCCTTGGCACACCTGGTGGAGACAGTGACTTGTCTGGTGGGGAGTAGCGGGAAGTGGCCTGGATACATCAGACACCCTGAGTCCTGACAGTGGAGGAGGGAGGGGCTCCTCCCTCTCTGCTCAGGGCTCTTCCTCCCTTCCAGGCTGGGCAATGGTGGGAGCCGGGAACTGAGTGGGAGAGGGCTGAGTGGGACAGTGCTGAGCAGGAGGAGAGGCTCTGCCTAGGCCTGCAAAGCCACGCCCCTCCCCACCCCAAGTGAGGTACCAGGGTGAGAGCCCTTGGGGCTAAGGGCTGGGCCTCTCTGGGTGTTCCCTGAGAAGCTGCCAGGAGTCCCGCCTACCTTAGGCAGGACTGAGCAGACAGGCTGGTGATTCAGAGCAGGGGCCTCATGTCCAAGTGGTAGAGAGAGACAAGAAAGGGGGGGCAAATAGACCCACAGCCTCCCTATCCCAGGATTGAAGAGAAAGAGGATGAGGTCGGCCCAGATGAGCAGGCAGCTCACCAGAACTTGAGGAAAGGGGCTCAAGCCCAAGCCAGAACAATCCTCTGAGAGTGGGCTCTGGAGCCAGCTAGCCTGGGTTTAAATCCGAGCTCTGCTGCTTATTAGCTATGCATACAACAGTGAGCAAATGAACTAACCTCTCTGTTCCTCATCTATAAATTGAGGATAAAAAAAATCATATTCCTTTCTAAGGTTGCTGTGAAATGCTATATTGATTCATGCAAAGTGCTCAGAACAGTGCCTGGCACAGCATAAATACCCATCAATGTTGGCTGTTACCACCGTGCTGCTTCAGAACAGCCCGGTGACTTCCAGCCTGGACCAGACTGGGAGGGCATCACGAACCAGTTAAAGCAAGAGGCTATACAGATAGGCTCCGGGGGTTCCTGGGTGCAGAGCAGGGTGAGACTGCAGCATGTGGGGATCAGGCAGAGGATGTGGGCACCCCTCACTCTGCATAGCAGTCACAATCCTTCAATGGAAGTAAATCTCATTCTGTGAGTTCATCACTCACCAGCAGAACTGGCTGGAGCAGCATTTCCCATTTTGGTGACTTAACAAGGTGTTGATGGGATTTCTTTGTGCAGTAGGCCCCTGGTCTCCAACCCAGGGACCACAGAGATCAGCAATAAGATAAGATTTAGCACACAGAAAGGAATACAGAAGGAATAAAAAGCACCAGAGCTTCTGGCAGAGGGAAAGACCCAAGTGAGAAGTCTTGTACCACAGGGGTCTTTTCTTCTAGAGGAATATAAAGTCTTGAGAATTACACTTGGCCAGGACTTGGTAGTTACAAGACATCTTTTCAATGTTGATGAGTGTATTAACTAATGAATCTAGTCCCTCCAAATCCACAAGGAGTCCACTTCAGAAGAGACCCACTTACATGAAATTCCCCAGGCCTAGGAAACAGGAGTCCCTGTCCAGCCCTGAGTGGGAGAACCCTGTATCAAAGGCATTCCCCAAGATGATAATAGCTGGGCAGGGTACAGAAGGGGTTCTGGGGTCAGCAGAGTTTGGCCAATGCCACATATTTTGTCCCTCTTTCTGTGGTTCACAAAATGAATGTATTAATATTAGCATAATTGAGCAGAGGGACTTCTTTCACTTTGCTAAAGCCAGTGTTTGCCAAATTTTCTTGGACACGGAATCCCTTTCTCTCACTCTTCCTATTGCTGGCCTATGGAACAGGGCTCCATGGAACACTGATTTGGGAAACACTGGAGTACCAGGCTATTCTGGGAAGCCTACTGTTTAAAGAGAATTGTTGCTCCCTTCTTTACCTTCCAGCTACTGACCTTGCCTCAAGTGAATCATACCTGAGCAGCACAGTGCCTGGATATCTATAGTATTTAACCAAATAGGGGTTTGGGGTCTAGGTCCCAGCCTCCTCTCCAGCCACAGCCCTTGGGAGGAGCTGTCCGAGGGGAGACAGCTGTGCTCAGGAAGGAGAGAAGTCATCCCCAGCCTGAGCACCCTGAGGAGGAAGACCAGGGAGAACATCCCAACTCCCTGAGTCTTCACCCCACACAATGCCAAGACCAGGGCCTCAGGCGGTGGGAGGAGTGCTTGGTGCCCTGGAACCCCGCTTCATCCACTTTTATGGGTAAGAGTTGGGCTCTGGACTTAATCACCTGTGCTCCAGTGCCAGCTCTGCACCTGATAATTGCATAACCTCTATAACCCCTCTAAGCCTCCAATCATAAAATGGGGACAGTAAAACGACCTGGTTCCTCTGGTCATGGTAAAGATTAAAAGCGATGACCTATTTCTACAAAATGCCCAGAGCATGTATTTCATAAACATGGAGAATTATTATTATCATTTCCTTGCAGGAGCAGCCAACGTTTGGGTCCACCATGAACTGGGGGATCTTTGAGGGGATCCTGAGTGGGGTCAACAAATACTCCACAGCCTTTGGGCGCATCTGGCTGTCCCTGGTTTTCATTTTCCGGGTGCTGGTGTACCTGGTGACGGCCGAGCGCGTGTGGAGTGACGACCACAAGGACTTCGACTGCAACACCCGCCAGCCCGGGTGCTCCAACGTCTGCTTCGACGAGTTCTTCCCCGTGTCCCACGTGCGCCTCTGGGCCCTGCAGCTCATCCTGGTCACGTGCCCCTCACTGCTCGTGGTGATGCATGTGGCCTACCGCAAGGCTCGAGAGAAGAAGTACCAAGAGGCCAGTGGGGAGAGCGGTGAGCACATCTACCTGGACCCTGGCAAGAAGCGGGGTGGGCTCTGGTGGACATACGTCTGCAGCCTGGTGTTCAAGGCTGGGGTGGACACCGCCTTCCTCTATGTGTTCCACTCTTTCTACCCCCAATACACCCTCCCTCCCGTGGTCAAGTGCAACGCAACTCCGTGTGGCAATATAGTGGACTGCTTCATCTCCAAGCCGTCCGAGAAGAACATCTTCACCCTCTTCATGGTGGTCACGGCCGCCATCTGCATCCTGCTCAACCTCGTGGAGCTGACCTACCTGGTGGGCAAGAGGTGCCGTGAGTGCCGGGCAGTGAGACGTGCCCATACCACGTGCTTGGGGCATCACCTGCACTGGGCTGCCTCTCCCTGCAAACAGGACGACCTCCTCTCAGGCGACCTCATCTTCCTGGGCTGTTACACTCCTCCTCCTCTCCTACCAGACCGCCCTCGAGACTACGTGACGAGAACCGTCCTGTGAGGGGCTTCCTGGACTGGGCTGACAGGTCAGGCCAAGGTTGGAAGGCTCCAGCATCTCTCATAGGTGCCCCCCGGGAGTGAGGGTGCTAAATTGTGAGAAGCGGGGAGGCAAAAGGCCAGGGGTCTGATCCCTATGCCTCAGGTCTGGCCACCTGCCCCAGCACGTGGCTGTGAGTAGGGTACCCTACTCTGCACCTCGGGGTCACTGCTCTGCACCTCGGTTTCCTTGTCTATAAAACAGAGATACTGAGCACCACCTCACTGGGGTGCTGTAAGGAGGGTTTCATCAGAGAACAGGTGTGCGAGCACCTTTGGTGTGTGTGGCCCACATCAGGGCTTAATAAAATCCAACACATTTGCTGATTGCAAGTGTCCTTTTGTTGTCTGGCCTTGGTGGCTCTCATCAGTTCACTGTGCCTACCTCCCTGCCCTTGCAGAGGGCTGTACTTGATCCAGCCAGATAAGGGGCCCACCAACATTCCTGGGGACCATGCTGCTTGCTCATGCTCAAGTCTTGCCTTTATCCCCATTGCAAGTTCAAGCCTGTGGAGCTTAGCCCTCGGGGAGCAGTGTCTTATAGGGGGAAGTTCATGGGCTCTGGAGTCAGAACACCCGCACACAGACCCAAGTTCCACAGGGACTCTGAGAAAGTGACTTTAACTCCTCTCCAAAATGGGTTAATAATACCTAGCCTGTGGGGTTATTGTGAGGTCTTATGAGTTCATGGCTGGGGACTAGCCAGCTGTGAAAGGACACATAAATGTTAGTCACTGGTATTAGGAAGTGCTCGATCAATGCTTGTGAACATGAGACAAAGAGCCCCTCCCTGGCTGCACATTAACCTTCACCGTCCCAGCCAGGACACAGGCCCCAGGCTCCCCTGCAACACAGGTAGGGTCACACTCCAGCTTCTGGGGAGCCTTCCCCAGAGGCCCAGCAAGTCTGTGCCTGGCCATGGGCCAGCTGGGACATTCTATGCTGCCAACCTAAATTCTTTGGCACCATTGGGGCAGCAGATACCCTGATCTAGAAAAACCATAACCAACCCATCTGTCCCCTACATATTCTAAGAGCAGCCCGGGCTCTAGTCCCCAGAAATTTCCCCACCAGGACAGGATGCACTTTTAAACCGAATCAAGGTTGCTTATTTTCATAGATCTGAGCAGCTGAGGACTAGGAGAAAGGGCAGAAGAGAGGCCTGAGGACAAGGAGGCAGAGACCATGGGACAACAGAAAGGGACAGGGTTAGTCCCCTGGGTATAATGATATCAGGGCCCTGCACCCCGCTGCATCTCACCCACATACCTAGCCACCTGGGAGCCAGGCCCAGCCAGGCCCAGCAGGATAGAAGGAAGACGTGGGCCAAAAAAGAGCCGCAGGTGTTTGCTCTGAGGCTGGGGAAGTCCGCCCTCCTTCCTGCCCACCCAATCACTCTCGCTTGGCTCATTGGCTCAGAAAACCCCACCCAGCAGGAGAGGAACAAAAGCTGCCTCCAGGAGGCCCGTGGGCAGACCGGCAAATCGGCAAGCACAGGGACAGGAGAGCAGCTACTGGACCCAAGAAGGGTGAGGACCAAATAGGGCAGGAGACTGATCTGGGAAGCAAGGGACAAGCAGAGCTGAGGATACCCAGGGGCCCTCAGGCTGTGGACCAGACTTCAAGGAAGTCAGAATGTGTCCCAAGGAGAGGCTGAGATTGAGTCAAGGACAAAGGAGGGAAGGGCAGAACTTGGGGATGGAACATGATGGGGACTCCAGGCATTGGGTGTGGAGGTTGGAGTGCACAGGATGGGGCCTGAACAGAAACAGTAAGAGACTTTCCCAGCAGAAGGCTACTAAGCAGACGGGGAGTATCCCTGGGAGAGAAAAAGTGGTAGGGAACAGACCAAGCCGCAACCTGGCATCTGTCCCTTCCCAGGTCCCTCCCTAAAGCTGGAATGAATGGTTGGAATTCCAGAGGCACCCACTGTGGTCCAGACAGTGAGCCCTTGGGTCCTAGCACCGATCAGGGGTAGTAGCGATCATACCAGGCCACAGTGATTCCAAAGAGCTTCTGTTTTAGTTTAGGAGTAAATGTCAGGGCAGGGAACCTTCCAGGAGCCAGACAGGAAGAGTAAGGATGAAGACTGTTCCAGGATCTTCCAAGGGGATGACATGACTGTGTCCAGCACAAGACAGGCTCATGTTGTCACTCAGTAAATGTGGGATGAATGTAACAGGTGATAAGAATACACTCCCACCCCATCTTGCCCTGGTCCAGCCCCAGCAGCTGATGGGAGAGTGGGTCATCTAATCCAAGCCTTCTTACTATCTCTTTAGAAGTCGTGTGACCGTGGGCTGAAACTTGGGGTAAAAGAGGCTGTCTGGCAGGGCAATGCAGGCTGATTATCTTCACATGTATCTATTACTTTGTAGACTAAAATAGACCCCGATTTTGGAACCTGAAGACCGAGGTTCAAAACCAGCTCTGCTACCTTCAGCTGTGGAGTATTGGGCAGGTGCTCTGAGCCTTAGATTCCACCCTGATAAATGGGGACAAGGACAGTCCTTATCCCTTTGACTTATAAGGAGTGAGGACATGATGACACAGTGGTTGTGAAAGGGTTTTATCAATTGAGCCATCGATACGAGCGACCATCTCCAGGCTCCCCACGACCTCAGAGCTCCTGGAGCCTGCGTGAGTGGTGCCCAGGTGTAGACTGCCCACGTGAGGTTCTGAGGCCACAGCCAACATGAACTGGGCGTTTCTGCAGGGCCTCCTGAGCGGCGTGAACAAGTACTCCACGGCAGTGAGCCGCATCTGGCTGTCTGTGGTCTTCATCTTCCGTGTGTTGGTGTTCGTGGTGGCCGCTGAGGACGTGTGGGACGACGAGCAGAAGGACTTTGTTTGCAACACCAAGCAGCCCGGCTGCCCCAATGTCTGCTATGACGAGTTCTTCCCCGTGTCCCACGTGCGCCTCTGGGCCCTGCAGCTCATCCTGGTCACGTGTCCCTCGCTACTCGTGGTCATGCACGTGGCCTACCGTGAGGACCGGGAACGGAAGCACCGCCTGAAACATGGGCCCAACGCCCGGTCCCTATATGACAACCCGACCAAGAAGCGTGGTGGGCTCTGGTGGACCTACCTCCTGAGTCTCATCTTCAAGGCCGCCGTTGACTCCACCTTCCTGTACATTTTCCACCGCCTCTACCGGGATTACGACATGCCCCGAGTGGTGGCCTGCTCTGCGGCACCTTGCCCTCACACCGTGGACTGTTACATCTCCCGACCCACAGAGAAGAAGGTCTTCACCTACTTCATGGTGACCACAGCTGCCATCTGCATCCTGCTCAACCTCTGTGAGGTCTTCTACCTGGTGGGCAAGAGGTGCATGGAGCTCCTCGGCCCCAGGCGCCGGCGGTCTCGGCGGCGCCAGGGTTGTCTACCTGACACGTGCCCACCATATGTCCTCTCCCAGGGAGGGCACCCTGAGGACGGGAACTCTGTCCTAATGAAGGCTGGGTCAGCCCCCATGGATGCAGGTGGGTATCCATAACCTGCAAGGTTGGCAGGTAGGATCCCCGGGTCACCCCCTCATGTTCCCCAAGGCCACCCAGGAAAATGGACAAGGGCAGTGGCATCTTTTCTGAAGCAGGACAGGCTGTGGAGCTCAGGAAGCTCACTCGGGGCCAATGTGGGAGGCAGCTTGGTCCCTGGGTCCTGAGTCTCTGGGAAATGAGGCTCATGGCTACTTGGGGAGGGCTGTATATGCCAGTAGGGTACGTCAAAAGTCTTAATAAATGTGATTTTTGCCATACTTTACAGACTAGGTGGGCAGTGGTGGGTAGGAAAGCAGGGGGATCAAATGACTTTGGAAAGGAGGCCAAGACCAAACTCAGTGGGCACCTGAGTGCCAGGCCCAGCTCACGATCACCCACACTGCACACACAGAAGGTCTGGGAAGTGCCCAAACGCAGAGGCCACTCTGGAGGAGTCTGGACAAGGCAGGAGAAGGGGAACCTGGGAGGCCCCATTCCCAGGAGGCAGTTCTCGAAGCATGTCCACTAGGCTGCTGCCTTCCCACCCAGCACAGGTCCTGGGGAGTGAGCCCCTCTGAGGTGGGAGGGGCCAGTGCTGAGAGCAAGTCAGAGACAGGGTCTGTTGGGGTATCCTGAACGCATGTCCCCACAGGCCACGCCCCACTGAGAACATCAGAGCTAAAAGGTGTTTCATGAATCCTCAAGTCTGTGGAATTCTTTCCATGGATACACATTCCCCAAGCAGCCTCATCCCCCCTTGCCTACCTCTGCTCAGACCTTGACAACTCCCCAAACTCCCTTAAGCCTGGACCTGCCCCTGGGTCCCACCAACTGCCCACCAGACAACTCCCTGGGAGGCCACAGACACCTCACCCTTGGCAGCTCCCAAACTAACCTATTCAACTGCCCCTGAACCTCTCCTCCCAGCTACCCCACCCTATCCTGCAGAGTGCTGCCATCCCTCCAGCTGTCCAAGCCACAAGCTGGCCTGTCATCCTTGTCCCTCCCACCCAACGTCCCCACCAGCACCAAATCCTATGGATTCCAGCCCCTAACAGCTTCCCAAATCCACCTTTCTCTCCCTCAAAAACTAATCACAGAATCTCTCCCATCTGCCCTCCATCACCGAGACGCAGTGATTGATCTATGTATGCATCTGACCAAGTCATTCATTCCCCCTGCTTTAAAAATCCTCCCTCCATCACCACCCCTGATGCCCTCAACCAGGCCCTGCTGACGCCCCAACTCCACCTGCTTCCTCCCTCCTCCTTGCCTACCAGCAATAGCAAAGGGTTCATGGTTCACCAAGCACACAAGCATGCACACTACGTCATGCTTCGTGCCTTTGTCACTTTGTCACACTGTTCCTTCTGCCTGAAATGCCCTTCCTGCCTCCTCTGTGACCCTCCTTCCTCTGCGACCCTCCCTCAAGTCTCAAGGATAGTCTAACCCCCCACCCCCTTTCCATGCGCCAGCCTCACTT